TGCCCCACTTGGGGTTGTATTGTATTAATCATAATTGCTCTCATTCTGCTTGTGTCTGGTATTTCCTGTTATTGTTTACATGAAACTATACACTTTCTAAGTGGGAATATTTCACAGTGTATTATAATTACGATATTTATTTAGCTTGTAGATTTTGGCTTATATGGCATTCTTTATTGGGAAACTTACCACATGCAGGGCAAGGCTGGATACATAAAATTTGGAGATAGAATTGAATTTTCCCATTTACAAAAGCATAAATCCCCGTTGAGGATGAGATGTCCTTACCTCCCCAGGATGGAAAAGGAAGCTTGTGAAGGGGGCATAGGAGACTCTTTGTGTTCCTTTAGGTCTTCTGTAAGTCTAGGCATTCTTACTCTACCTCTTTTCATTCCATTCACTCTTTCTCCACTGTATCTTTGTTCTATTGTTGTTTTCCAAACATTCCATACCACTGACTATTCTGCTTACCATTTACTATATTATATTTACGATGCTGTAGCTTTTGCATAGGGAAAGTGAAGCCCTTGCATTTATCTTCTTTGTCTAGGAGGAATAGAGACTGAGGTATTATTTGGTCTGGGATTCCTATCTTAACTCCTAGAGTCTGAAGTAGGTACCCACCTTCCATAACGCCAAGGTAACACTCTGCATGCATTTATCATATTTTGGATTCCACCAAATTGGAGATGTTTGCTCAGTTCACTGGTTCTTTCATCAGCCTATAGTTTCCTGTGGGCTAGAGCCTGAGTCCCGTCAGCTTCCCCTCCTCCAGGCTGTCTTCTATCAATCCTTCCCTAAACTCAATCCCTTTAACGTTGAAATCTCGCCTGCCCACACCAAACCTCCGTGCTCCCTCCTACCTGTCAACTCCTGAAATGGATTTCTGCAACACTCACAATCATCTATGACTTGCTTCACTTTCTACTTCTAATACAATGTTCACTCTAGGCCTTATATTGCCTCCAACTAGTTCATAATGAGATTGTATGATTTGTTATTGCCAGGCCCCACTGTACTGTGCCAAGCAAAATACTATGTATACAACATTTGTTTATTCATTTAAAACATGTGGTCATTCAAATGACAAAATATCCATTCCTTCATACATACAAAGATAAGAAAGTTTTATATGTGTGATGAATATAATACATATGTGTATATGAGTGTATGTATACATATAAATATATATAAATGAGCACATGTATTACATATATGCAAATATAAGTGCATACATGTAAACATAAATGCACCTTATTTTATGTATACATACAGATAAATACATATATAATTTGTCTAGAGAAATAGAGAGTATCGGAAGCATTATTCTGTCTGGAATGCCTGTCTTGACCCCAATAATCTTTGTTAGTGTCTCTTTTCCACAGTCTATAAATCTACTCATCATACCTTAGATTCTACTGAACTGAAATTATTTATATATGTATATGTGTATGTGCGTATATATATGTATGTATGCATGCATGTGGGTGTGTAGGTATATGTGTTTATGTGCATGCATGTATGAGTTTCCTACTACATGTATTGGCTATATAACACATTTCAAGTATATAATTCTTTTTATTTGAATTATTACTAGAACAGATTCAAAATATCTTTCCACTTGAGATTCATTGATGAAAACAGTTCTTAACATCATTATAAGTTTTAACCTTTTAAATAATAACTATTCAAATGATGTTAGTAAGAATTACATGGTATTAAATATTTAGCACACATATTTCTTTAAATTTGTTGTCATATGTACATGGGTGTTTGTGTTATGCATTTTAGTTATAGCTGTAGAATACCTTAAATGCCAGGAAAACTCTAGGAAAAAATGAATATCATCAACATTAATGAAAACAAGGTTTAATCCTTGACTTGCAAGGATTCCTTCCAATCCTTGGCTTGCACATTTATTGAAATGTTTTAATCCCTCTCTTTAAGCTGAATGCTATTCTCCATTTATGTCTTTTTTTTTTAAGGCTGCTTCCATTTGTCTGTTCCATCTTTTTTATTAGAATGACCATTACCCATCGGCAATTACTCTCAAAACACCTATGTTGGAGCATTTTAATCTATTGATTGCATTCATCTACCATCTCAAAATTAATTAAGTAAATTTAAATCCCAACTGCCCCCATTTCATTGTAATTTCTCTTATATCATAGTTTTTTATACTTAATGCCAGTGAAAGTTCATATAACGGTAATCCTCAATTTCTCTTCTGTACGTTTGTATTTATCATTTCTGAGTACACTGATTTTAATGACTAATTTGCCGCATTTTGCCTTCCACTGGGACTCAGTTCCATATTATCTTACTGAGAAATCATTAAGTCCTCTCCCCCTAACTTTTGTGTGAGCCACAAATTTTCTTTTGTTATTTTTAATTATTTTTAGCAAACTTCTATTTGACGTAGAACTTTGCAATAATCATAGAGGAGTCTCAAAAGTGAATAAATTATACTTTTGTGAGTTGGGAGTTGGGAGGGGGAAGACAGTGAGTGTATTTTCCTGCTTTAGTTTAGTATAATGATTGTGCAAAATCTAAAGAACATAATGCAATCATCCCTGTTGCTCAAGTGCTGAGCACTGATCTCAATTAAGTGCTTAAACTCTGTCATAAGTGGGAAGGATACATGAAATTTCTCACTGAACAGCATTTCTGTTATCTCCGCAGAATACCTGAGATTCTCACGTTTCTTTCTCATGAGTTTATATTGACTTTAAAAAACTAGGACAAGAAAAAGACAAAACCACAGCAAGGGTTTTTTGGGGCCATTAATATAGTGCCTAGGGACAGAATAAAGTTTCTAGGAGAGTATTTCTTAAAGTGGGTGTCACAAAGTACTAGTTCCATGAGATGCCTCAGGAGAAAGTGTTTTATGTCATATAAAATTTGAGCAAACTTGAAGTCAAGTAGTAAAGAAATCTCTTTACATGTTCACCCGTTGTTTTCATCTTTGTTTTTAAAATACCTATTAAAATTCCATAGACTATTTTGAGAAAGACTAGAATATGGATAATAGGACAGGGTGAGGGGATATGAATGAAACTAATGCAGATTTTATTGCTTGCAAATATATTTGGAAGCCTTGCTCATTGCCTCTTTCCGCTTAGCTCAAAAACATTCATCATAGAAGATACTTTCCCAGAGATCGGGGCCCTACTTCACAGAAGATACTCATCTATTTATGAGGACAAAAGCTAATTCTGTTTTAACCATTCTGTATGATTCTTAGCACAGTGTTTCAGTACTAGCTTGCAAAACAAATGAATAAATAACCAAAACAAGCAAACAAAAAGCCATTTGTCAGAAACAAATTATTCATAAATGTTGTCTAGAGAAACACTGTGTAAAAATTGTCCAAAAAAGTTGTCTACTCCCTAAAAGCTGTATCCGTCAAAAGCATTTTATAGACAAAGGGTGCTATGGTGTCATGATCTGAGGGCAGTTACAGTGGCCTGCAAATTCCCTATCATGGACATTGACCTGCACCCTAGGTACTGTATTTGAATCACAAACCACAAGTGCCTTTCCCTGATTAATTGCCAAGGTAACTGATAATGTGTATTTCTAGTAGCTTGACTGCTTCCTGGAGAAAGCATGTGGGCTGAAAGATACAAACGCAGGGCACACACAGCCTTACAATTGTCCTGCATCGTCTTTCAGATTCTTGACGGCTTTGTAACCCTCTCGAAGACTGAATTCCTTCTCTGGCCGTGGAGAAAACTCCTCCTGAGGCTGAGAGTTGAAACCAAGACTGCACTAAATTCATGGAGATGAAAGAGCCCTTGAAACCTTTTGGAGACAGCATGTTAAGCTTCCCGCCTTACAACGTCTTTCTACGTGTCTTTTCTTGTGAATTCTTGCAACTGGCTTTTCAGTTAGTGCAGTTTTATTTCACATCTCTGTTATGAAGTGAAATTTCACATGACCTTGGCCGATCTTCTCTTTGGAAGATAAAAAAGACAATTTCACGAATTGAGGACATTAAATATCATTTCTTGTTAAAATGCTTTCCTGAACCACCGGTATACCTTTTTTTAGCTAATATGTAATAATCAAGAGAGAACAGTGTATTATTTTAATAAATCTTTGTGGTAATTTTGCCCTTTTGCCATTTGTAGGTGTTTCCATATTGCACCCAGATTCGATAAAGCAATGAGTGTTTCGCAGTTTCTCTACTATATATCATATTGGTAACTGATATATTTGTCTTTAATCACACGTATCATGCCATTGTATTATATTAATGCAACATTATTTCTAATTCCTCTAATACTGTTTTATTTCCCTATTGTTAATCTAAATTAAATGAAACTCTGAAGTGTATTATCCACTTACCATGTGCTTTAAAAATATTTTTGATTAAATTGTTTTAGAGTTCAGTAGTTTTATTTCATTTTTACTATACTATATTATTGTAAAGAATACAGGAGTTTTTTTTATTTTTAGAAATAATTTGATCCTGTAATTGTAGTGAAAAAGAATGAAATATTCATGAAGTACAATAAAGTAGGGAATTTCTCTTTTCTACCCAGTCCCTAATATAACTTTTCAACATCCATCCTCTTAGAAAAAGTTATCATTAGCTATTCTAAGGCAATTAAGAAATACCCACTTTTTCCCATTCTCATATTTATTTATATTTAAAGAATAATTTTTGAAGGTAATTTTGTAGATGAGAAGTTTGTATTCTCTCTACCTGAAGGTCTTTATGGGGTGGGGAAGATCAGATCTGGAGAGTAGGGCTTAGAGGGTGGAATCTCTAATTTCAAATGCTTTTTATATTCTTCATCAGTGTCATCATTATAGTCACTACTATAAGTCAACGTCACTTTCTAGTTACCACCACCCAACCCAGTACCAAAGGAGAAAATCAGATTATGCATTTGGTCACAAAATATTAATGTCGAGTTGCAGAAGTGACAGAATGGTTTGTGTTTGATTTTTCTACAGGCAAGTCTGTTTTACATAAATGGCTTTTTTACAAATTTGAAATGTGAATATATTTTATTTTTTCCCAGTGAGTACACAATACACAATTCTTTGACAATACTATTAACCAATTTTATGCCAATTTCTTTTCTGAGCTAACAACATCAAATGAAACACGTTAAGATTTTGGATGCTGTTTGGTGACTTAAACAGACTAGTTAAAAAAAAGTCCATCTATAAAACAAAGTATAAAAAGTCTACCCACGGCCACAAAATCCCTTATCTTGCAACATTTTAAAGTCACAATAAATGCTTTTGAAAATGATGAGATAAGAAAATGATGAGATAAATGGAACTTCACTGAAAAAAGGTATGGGGTTTCATCTGAAGTACGCATGATAGAGAAGCAAAATAAAAGTAACTTCACCTCTGAGATGATGTGGGAAAACATTGCTTTACACCAATTCTCGTCATGTAACTTTATAAATACAATGTACAGAAGCAGATGTACAAACTAGTGAATGTCATGGTTCTTCGTATCTTTAATACTGACACACAATCACTTTCCAGTGGCGAAGATAAACCACAGTTTAGAGCTCATTGGTATTCGTATCATTATGTTGTCGATGGACAGGTCCATAAATTTGTTGAATAGAAATTTGGAGGTGTTCTATCAGAGCTCAAACTTTCAACTTGAATCCTATTGAAGATATTTTTAAATACCCAGAGCATTCAACTATGACATAGAACACCATTTTATCTGTTTTGTTACTTAGAACAAGCATACTTGCAATGTTTTTACTTCCCTTTGGTTATAGGACACCTTAGGTGTTCGTCTTGATTTTCCTATATGCTCCCTTGAACTGGATTCAAATCCTGTGAAGGAATCTGTTGTTTTCAAGCCCCTGTACTGTCCCACTTTAAATATGGCATGGAAAAGATCTGGAAAGGGGTGGGCCGACTCTGCCTGCACGCTCGGAGGCAAACCTGAGCTGGGGCACTGATTGGCTTTTCCCCAGTGGAGACGTGGCATGTTGAGAGTGGAGCTGTGTTGTTTGGGGCTTGACCGCACAGCAGCATGGCCTGTGAGTGCGAGGTGAGTTTGCATTCTCTCCCAACCAGATTTCCTTCTGACAAGTTATGCAGGCCTTGTGTAGACCTGAAGAAGAGTGAGCTCAATGAATTTCTAATCACACTCATTCAATGGGCTACAAAATGAAAAAAATTCCGGAAGGTCTTATACATGTTTGCATTCTTCTAATGACATTCTGACATACTGATTAGAAGCTTTTTACATATAGTAAGTTGACAAAAGCTTTTGGTTTTTGGGTAAGATTCCTGAATTCATTTGGGTAGCCACAGCATTTTGTCTGGCTCTGTTTCTGTGTGAGGATGCTATCTTGGGTGCAGGATTTTACTAACCAATTTACATATAAAACTAGACTTAACAGGGAATATTAAGGGAATGTTCTAAAAGAACATTCCAAGTAACCATAGGGTCTGTACTGCCAAAACCTAACCAAAATGGTTACGTTTTATACACTGAAAATAATCAGGAGGGTATGATGCTATGTCCTGCGTTATTCCAGAAGTCACTTTCATACCCATACTCTACACTGAAGTCTTGGTTTATTTGTCACATTAGGGATCAACATCTATGTGTAATAAATGTAATGAATTAAAGCTTTACTCAAGTGGGTTACAGAGAAGCATAAAGAGGGAACACAAATGAACAAAACTTTGTTTGTTTTTAAATAGAAAGAGGTGAAATAGAGAACCGCATAAATAAAAATTAAATTCCTCACGTCCTACAGTTGCGAATAGTATGTAGTCATTCTTCGCAGGAACTTCTCATCTTTCCTAGACAATCTGACCCAGAGAAAGCAAACTGCATTAAAATTCAGGCACTGGTGGCAGAAAGTTGATAAAGCATTTAATAAGTGTGTCTCAGAATGTTTTTTCTCTTCGGTGAAGAAATGAGCTACATGGCACCAAGAAGATGTTGGGGCCCATAAAGAACATTACGTTCCTCCACTCTTGCCTGTGTTGATGCAGTCTCAGGGAACAAAAAGGATACAAAAAATGAATTACGTTATCCCTTTGCTATAACAATATGATATGGAATTGGTGACCGAGGCAATCATGCATGGGAGTATGAATTGTCATTCAAGCAGGTCCCATATTTTAGAATTGATTCTAATCATTACATCGAACATTTTTCAAAATACCAACTACTGAACACATCATAGGAAAAACATGAGAAAGTATAACTAGAAATAGAATTTACAGTTGTGGAGGCAGCACATAGAAAAAATGTCACAAGTGGGAATTTCAGGGAAGGTCTCTTCTACTTGACTGATCGACTCTACGTGTACAGTGGCTGACATATATTTCAAAGTCGGATTCATTTTGACCATACATGACTGATGTTCAGGAATTTCTTGTTCTCAAAGTCATGGAAACAAATGAGGCAGGACACTGTTATTAATGTCCACTTAATGAGGTTTGGTTTTATTTAAAAAGTATTATAAACATGCATTTTTCTCCTTTTAAATTTTTCTTTTCAACTTACTCATTCAAAATGGGTCAAACATATTTTAGTTGGTAGCCAATTTCTGAGAATGTACCATAAAATGTTTATTCCAATAAATCTACTTACTGTGAACTGAACATACTCTGAGCACTGCTTTGTAAGCACTTACAATTTGGCTATACATTTGTGGCATAAACTTCACTTCTTAACCAAATAAAACAAAGTTGTCTACAGACTGCATTATTTTTTCAAAGTCATAAATTTAAGTGATGCAGCTCTATCCTCTCGTGTGTACTGTACATGTATTAGAAAGATGAAACGAGATATTGCAATAGAGTTTTTGCATTTGGAAGCAGCCCGAGTATGTCCTAATAATAAATTGCCTCTTTAACTATTTGCTAGATATTCTAGAGTTCATTTTGTTTGTTTCCTTGGGGAATGTCATATTATATTCTGACTTAATGAGTTGGAGAGATTAATTATGGTAATTCAGAAAATGCTTTTATAAAAACTGTAATATAAACACAGCTCTTGTGAAACACCTTAATTTCCTTTTGCTTGTTATAATTCTCAGATGGGTCAATTACAATGACAGGTTCAGTTAATTCTACATATAACCTTAATTTCTTTTCTTTTTTTTTTTTTAGCAAGCTTAGTACATCTTTGCTACCTGTATATTGTAATACCTATTTAGCCTTAAGACTTAAATTTCTTTCTTTGACCCCTGCTTTTTGTCAATAGCAAAAGACACCTTTCTGCTTTTCTTTTTATTGACTCAGTCTCTGATATTCAAAGAAGACTTTGCCAACACCACTGTTCCTTTGCATCTTCCTATTCCTACACCCCAACTGCAAACCATCTAAAGTGATTGGTTCCAACCAGCACATCCAGCCTAGCTTACAGTACGGAAACTCCCTTCACATTCAGTCTTGTTCTTCATGTCACGAGGAGTAGAGATTTGTGCTTATCACCAAAAAAAATTGCAGTGCAAAATTTAAACATAAAAGTTACACAATTAAAAGTTAATATATGGCACCACAGCCTATTAATTCACATATAGTACAACAGACCAATGAAAACAGACAATAGTATGAACAGATCTAAAAAGAGTGAGCTTGCATAGCAATGCACAAAAGAAATTATATACAGAGGAAAATCCTTTTCTTCCTGGAGGGCGGGTTTTCTTTTCTGTCTTTTTTATATACTCCTGACAAGAAAGAGTTAAGGTGGGTGGTGTACTTAAGAGAAGAACACAAGTAAAATATCTGTGGGATATGTGTGGCTGTGTGTCTTTACATTGCATTTACAGTTCTTTTAATTGTACATAAATAAAGAAATTGTTCATTGCACTGTTTCGTGTCATCACTTCCATGAGTTCAGACCTGGTGGTCCTTCAGAGCAGCTTCGCATGTCTCCTCTCAGTTACTCTACAAAGAGATGAAAAAATCAGAAATAAGTTTGCACCGAAATTAAGTAGTCTTTCATCCTGACCAGCACAACAAAAAGCAAGGGGAATAGGTAATAAATGAATAGAACATCATCAGACACATTTTGTGAGTGTGTAAAGTTGGGAAATATAGTGATGGGAGGGGAAGAAAGAAACATTGCAAAATCTGGAGATTTAAAATCCACATAGAGCTATCTCTGCACGTCTCCTGTTATCTCTGCACATCTCCTGTGAGTTTATAGTTACTCTACAATAAAAGTCAAAGCAAAACCCAAGTAGTCATGAATCAAATTAAAAATTACAAACATATCTTAATAATCAGATCAGTAATAGACAACAAGAATGATAAGTCTAGTCAATAAAGAACTTTACAGTTTGAAAGTACTTTTACTTTTCATTATTTCGTGGAATCCCCCAGTCTGTGATGTCAGCGTAATAGTAATAGTAATGCCATGTTTTGGGTCAGGAGGTAGAGAGATTGGGAAGGTAGTTTACTTGCTCTGGGTTGAGAAGACTGGAACCCAGGGCTGCTCCTTCAGCAGTGCTTTTAACATGAATCCAAACAAGCAGCTGAAAATATTCGACAAGTATAATTCTGATATTGGATAGCAGAATTGGTAAATTTCATGAAAAAAATTAACACAAAGAATTCAGTGCTTCTTCCTGTGACATACTGTGACGTGCTATCTTTCTCTGTTGCCTGGTATTTTATTTTTATAGATTAGTTATACTATCAATGCTGGCTCTTTATTCAAAAAGAAATTTATTTATAAAATATGTTATTATAATCAAAGATCAACTTTACAAGGTCAACTGCCTAAATTTAAAAAATAAATAAATGTAGAGCAACTAGGGAATGAGGAATTCCTGAGGTTCTTTAAAAGGCAAAGAAAACTACAAAGTGGACTACGTTTAATTACTTATAAATATTAAGATTAATTGCCTAAATATAGGCAATTTTTGTATAGTGTAAATCAGACTTGAAATAGAAGAAATATTCATTTAATAGATGACTGTAAATAGCAGTGGTCTACATTATGACTGAACCTGCTCAAAATCATAATCGATTTTTTCCTCATAGCAAAGCAGGATTTCTACTATTCTGAAATTTGTTTATTGTCCCAATATTATTGATGAGGTTCAGGACATGCTACCCCAAAATATGACACCTTGGCATACTGAATATCGAAAGCTGAAGAAGTCTGAGAAACCAACGGAGGCAGGAAAGTCACTCTGACCTCCCTCCTCCCCACTGGCTCTTCTTTTCTGAAATGGGTCATAAAACTTCCACGTGAAAGTTACCCTCCCTCTACCAGAGGAAGGAAGACATTCTTATTCCCAGGGACAGAGAGTTATGGGACCGAGAAATCTGTGCAAACAAACCTTGTTAAACTAACCCTTCTCTTCCTAGTTACTTCTTTTTTTTTTTTAAAGATTTTTATTTATTTATTGAGAGAGAGAGAGAATGGTAGAGCACACGAGAGGGAAGAGGGTCAGAGAAAGAAGCAGACCCCCTGCCGAGCAGGGAGCCCGATGCGGGACTCGATCCGGGGACTCCAGGATCATGACCTGAGCCGAAGGCAGTCGCTCAAACAACTGAGCCACCCAGGCGCCCCCTAGTTACTTCTTTACCATTGACTACTCCCCTACCCAAACCCCTCGGTCTCATAAAATCTTCACAAGCTTATGGTTTCTTTGCCTAAAAGATATAAAAGCTTTCTACTCTGGTTACTTCTTTGGGTCTTCATGCTCTTCTGAAGTCACCCATGGACATGTAAAAATTCAATAAAATTTGTAGGCTTTTCTCCTGTTAATCTGTCTTTATCAGTTTAACTTTCAGACCCAGCCTAGGACCCTAAGAGGGTCAAGGAAACTTTTTCCTCCTCTACATTATTAACCCACTCTTCGTTCTCAATCACCAGAGCCTTTTAAGTGTCCTAAAGCACTTACATAATTCACCTGTAAACTGTCCTTGACTATTTGAGCCCATATATCCTATGTCAAGAAGGTCACTGGCATTGCGCTGGTGACTTCCCCTCAACGCCTCGGCTTTCCTTGGTCCAGTGGATCCTTTAGAAGAAGCTGTTCCTGATGAGCTGTGACCTCCTGGAGATGGGAAACTGGGCTTGCTGTAGGGCACCAATGTCTCCTCTGAAAAAGAAACACAAAGTGCTAAGCTGAAGAGCAACATGGAGGCAAAACAAATTTTTAATATTAAGTTCACGATGGGCTATTTTACCATTTCACTTTTTTTTAATAAAGACTTTTTATTTATTTATTTGACAGAGAGAGACACAGAGAGAGAGGGAACACAAGCAGGGGGGAGTAGGAGAGGGAGAAGCAGGCTTCCCGCGGAGCAGGGAGCCCGATGCAGGGCTGGATCCCAGGACCCTGAGATCATGACCTGAGCTGAAGGCAGACGCTTAACGACTGAGCCACCCAGGTGTCCCCATTTCACTCTTTAGTAAAATTAAAAAGTAGAGGTTTAGTAAGCCCGGATATTAAAAAATTTCCATGTGCAGATAACATTTCTGATAATAGGATCTGAAACAGGATTAAATTAAAAGAAATTTGGGGATAGGGGCCCTGGGTGGCTCAGTCGGTTAAGTGTCTGCCTTTAGCTCAGGTCATGATCCCGGAGCCTGGGATTGGGTCCTGGGATGGAGCCCTGTGTTGGGCTCTCCTCTCAGCAGGGAGTCTGCTTCTCCCTCTCCCTCTGCTCCTCCCCCTTGTTCACTCTCTCTCTCTCTCTCAAGTAAATAAAATCTTAAAAAAAATAAATTTGGGGATAAAAATACAATGTTATATATCATTTGCAAAATTTAAATTTATTAATAAAAGGGAGTTGCATACAATGAACCATATTGTTTAACAAAAGCATTTCTGAGTATAATTTCTGGCATTCAGTGTGGCTCCAATTAAATTTTTCAATTAAGATTGAAGAAACATGGTTTTTGTTTCACTTTATAGCAACATTTTCTCAGTCAATTTAGATAAAGAACTATATATTAGTTGAAATAAGCTTCCTAAATTTTTGTTGTTTCTGGGGATAGAAACACATTATTTTAAAGACTGTGTATTTCCTTAAAAGAAAAAGAAATACACATTTTCATAAATAAATAATAATAAATGAAAACATATTTCATGTATCAACTCTCTACAAATAACACAATGTGTATTATTAAGTACCTAATATTTTGAAACATTTTTTTCTTTCTTTCTTTCCTTCTTTCTTCTTCTTTTTCTCTCTCTACCTCTTCTGTTTTTTTCTTTCTTTTAGGTATGGCCATTATTATTACTGTGGTGACTGTGTTCTCTCCTTAGATGGTCTTTATGAAGTCTCAAGGATCACATACTTTTTCTCTCACAGCCTGAATGATGTAAGCTTCCTATATGTTTCACTAAGTCTAGGTATTAAAATTGACATATTTTGGCTCTTGTATATATTACATTTTCTAAAACCTTAAGCACCAAGTTGTGACATCATATAATTTTTGAAAATGCATGGGTAGTGGACATATCTACAAAAGATTGAGTCCAAATGAAAAAATAAATGTGTAAAGAAACTCTCAAATGTTGTTGTGTGTGTGTTTGTATGTGTTTTAATACTCAATGAAAGTGAATCCCGATATGAGAAGAAATGTTCCAGAAAATGTATTTCTATAATAGGTCCCAACAGCCACTACCCCTTCCAAAAAAAAAAAAAAAAATCCAACCACAAATGATGACATTTATTTTGGGACAGTTCCAGGAAGCTTGATTTATAAACAAGAATATTTCCCAATGAAGTGTTAACAATCAACTAAATTTAATCAGTTGGAGAAAGTACAGGCCCAGTTTTTAATCCTTTCTATCCTGAGATATTTGTGTGCATTTATAAACAACTTTGTTATTTCAATGAATTCAGTGATTTGACTGAAGTGAGTTCTCCTTTCAAAATGACTATAGTAACTTCAGTCAAAATGAAACTGATTGAAGGCAGGGATTAAATTGACATTAAGATGAGATTTAGAGGTCTTAAAAGTATTTTGATATAAACATTAAAAGGCAAAAAATCAAATTGTCTCCTGAACAATACAGGTGAAGCTTGGAGGTCTCTTGAGCTGAAATACCCCTATGCAGAGGTTAACTTGAGGAACAATCCCCACGGGAATCAGCCTTAAAGTGTGTGTTGGTAAATTCTGCTGAGGAATCCCAACTTTTCAGTGACTCAAGGCAAACTTTTTTCAGATGCTCTTAAACAACTGCCATTTCTAAAATACCTGGTAGGAAAACAAAAGGTAAAAGTCCACACTTTCCTGGGACTGTGCAGAACACACCTGGTCCAACACTTTGTTTGTGTAGGGCTTTCCGTATATCTTCTTGGCGTTCTGTGGAGTTTATCCATTCTTGGGTTTGTCGCTGCCACTCTAGGGACGTTCTAGCTGGACAATCCAATGAGCTCTTTGTGTCTTCTAAGTTGGATGCTGGTGGTGTCTCCAGAGAGCTCCCTTTTCTCTCTGTTGAGTTTTCCACGTTACCAGCATGCTGGCTCGGGCCTATTTGCTGCCTTAAACCCTGACCTGGAGGGGGATCTGGTGGTGGTGGAAGATCTAAAAATTGTGAATAATGTTTAGAATGGACTAAAATTTAATGAAAAAATACAGGTTTTAATTCAAGATGAAGAAAAAAACCCGTGCCATCTTAAAAGTCTCACTCATGCAAAACAAATTTGGGGGGAGGAGGCGGGGGGCAAAGGTCAGTTATTTCTATCTAAAATGCCTATTATTGATCTCTTTGCTATTTCCGGATCACAGTGTCTTTGAAACAAAATCAACTGATTTCAACTATTATATGCGGACAGTGTTTTCAATTGCACATTGAGGCTAACGTTCAAGGTATAAAAGGCAATTTATGTGTTCTCCATATTTTCTCCATATTTTCTCCATTGTCCACCCCCACCTCCTCAAAGTAGACATATCGTGACACAAAATGACTAGACACTTTAGCAGCTGTGTTAATAAAAGGCCCCAGGAAGAATAAAGGTTGTCCTGCCAATCTCCATCGGAAATGTTGCCCTTGGGAAATTAAGAACTATATGCCATATTATATGCAACATATGACTGCCTTTACCCATGTATGTGGTACATTTAGCAACAGTCAAAGGGTTAAGCTAACATTTATTAAATGCAATTAACATTCTGCTTGACAACCAATTCTGGCTGTTCGTTTCATGAGTTAGCTAATGAGTTACAACTAATACATTATAACCTCCCAGTGTATTAATTTTAATAAGTAATAACCAATGTTCAGAGTACAGATAGAATATGCTTCATGGTGCTAGAATAGACAAGGCGTCATAAAAATTTGAGATGTAGTAGAATAGATAACTTTGCAAAAAAGCTCTTTAAATTAAATATAAGATATGAAAAAATCAAAAGTTTGAACGTGCGGCTAATTTTTCATTTTCCTTTCATTAGCTGTTTGGATCATGACATCTTTATATTTTGATTGTCTTCAACTGTGATCTTAATCTCTTCTTTCATCTTTAAGTAGCGTACTAGTCCTACTATGTGATTTATACCATTATACTAGTTCTAAAATTACTTTGTTGAAGATTTTGAAATCTCCTGAACATTCTAAACAATACTACCTTCTAATTTTTCTGGCATACTATTGTGAACTTCTCTGCTCATCCTTAGAATATCAGTGATTACATTATTTGTTCATAAAATCAAATATCATATGCACTACATATTTATATTATTAATAGGGGCTGTTGCATGTAATATTAGTCCATTATTTCCGATATCATTGTTGTATTTGTGCTCTCATTTTTAATAATACTATTTGTGAAATTTAAAAGGAAAAAGCGCAAATTTCTTGTGAACAAAAGATAGCTTCCTTAAGGAAGGCTAAGCTGTTCTTTTTAAAGACTTTGTTAAGAAGCTTTATACTCTCTCTTAATGAGAAAAATGATACCGTCCTCCATTGAATTGACAATAATACTCTCCTCTGCATCTGCTTTGGGAGTTCCCATGCTGAAGCAGAATTCCTAGTTCTTATGTATGTCCTCTTGTTAGATTATGAATTACTAATTATTGAAGGGAACAGCATTTCCATCTGGGAGAATGAAGTTGCATTTGGAACATTTCTTCCAAAATGAAGAGTTAATCCAATACTGTGATATCTGTTTGTAGAATAATCCACCAATGAGTTTAGTGTTTCCTTTTATTCAATACTGACTTCCTTTAGTATGTATTATTATAAATGTGAAGTAATTATTTCATTTGCGTGTTTGGATTTAAGGCTGCCAATTGTGGGGAGGAGCAGGAATTATTATACTTGCTTTCAAAATAACATACCTGGTCATTGATTTTTATTCCCATCAAAGCAGCTTCATTTTTAAAATGGCCAAAATGGCATCTGCTATGCTAGACAAAATTCTGATTACTATTTAATTTAACCTGAAATTATATGACTACATAATTAAGTAATATACTTGGAGTTTGTATATTCTAAGAAGAAAGAACATGGCATGCACATTGAAATAAACAAATTGGGAAAAAGATGGACTAAGAATGACTGCGGCAAAAATAAAAGTATATAATCAAATATGTTTACTTAAATTTATTATTCATTTCCATGTTGATTCATTTCTACTAAATCAATTCACTAAAGAGTCTCTTACTGGCCTACTGAGGATTTCTTATTGTCAGGCACATAACAGTCCAATGAAATATGTACCATTATTATCCTCTTTTTCAGGTTAAAAAAAAGGCAAAAAGAAATCAAATATCTACAGCTGGGATCTCCCCTTCTGTGAGCTCCAGACTCACATGACTACATCCATACTGAGGAGTTCAACTTAGATGTTTAGGAAGCATCTAAAATTTCACATATCAAAACTGAGTTCTGGACCTTCCTCTACAAGATATGCTTCTTCTGTAGTGTTCATAATCTCAACTAGTAGCAACTGCATTCTACAAGTGACCAAGACTTTGGAGTAATCTTTGACTTCCTTGCCTTACAGCCTGTGTTAATTTCATGAACAAATCTTGTGGGCTCTGCCAAGCTATAGCCAGAATTCAATCTTTCTCATTGCTTCCATTGATTCTAACCCCGGGAGGAACCTCTAACGTCTCTTCCCTCTATGACTTCTACAACCTCTTATGTGGTCTCTGTGCTTCCACACAGAAGCACATTTGTCTACCTTAACATAACAGCTAGAGTGGTTTTTTTAAAAATAGAAGCATAAGTAAGATAATGTTACCCTTCGCCTTAAACACACACACACACACACACACACACACACACACACACACACACCCCTTCGATGGTTTCCCATTCAAAGTAAGAGCCAATGTCCTTACAGAAGCTTAAGATCCTACAAACACTGGCCCTCACTGACTTGTCTAACTTCATATTCTATTTTGTTGCTCTCTCTGCTTCTCTTACTTTTTAGCAAATAAGCTTCAGGCTTCCACTTGCTGTCCTCATGTCCTGGAATGACCTTTCCTTGATATCAGCATTGCTCTTTTCCTTTTAATCTTCCAGTCTTCTCTACTGTCATCTACTTGGTCAAGCCTTCCCTGAGACTTCATTTAAAAAAGACCTCCCCCCCCTTCACCCCCGTTATTTCTCGACTTCCTTCCTATGTTTTTTTCTCCATGACTCTTACCACCGTCTTATATACTTTTATTTTCCCTTATATAATTATGTTGTTCTTTATCTTCCCTCAATAGAATGTAAGCTCCAGAAAGGCAGGGAATTTTGCCTGTTGGTTTCCAGCCTATCATTTGGCGTGGGATTGCACAGATCAATGAATAAAGGAATTTGCTTAATGGTACAGGCTAGTTTGTAGCAGAGCTAGTTCGTGGCCAAGCTAGTTTGTGGCAGAGGAAAGAGTCCCTTCTCTAACCAGGACATTAAGAATGAGGGGAGAACAGACTGGAAGGAAATGATCTCAGGAAAAAAGATTAATGGATAGAAAACTACTTTCTCTGCCTTCTTTCTTCAGCATTTGTCAATATATTGGTTTTAAAGGGTATTCTTTAGCTTATGCAAATGGAATAGAAGATTTCGATTGAGCAATGCCTGCTTAGAAGAGTCTTTATTCAAGGGAGAAGGAGAATCCTCGATGTTTGTGTTGGGGTTTGCCTTGCCTTTGAGACAGAGACTGATGCTTTTCACCATTCCCAGTTCCTCTTACTAGTCACAAGAAAATATTATTTTCCCACTCCACGCAGTAGTCTGATGACATGTGCCAGTGCTCTTGTCAGGGAAATGAGAAGTGACATGTGCCACTTGCAGGCCTGACCATAGAACCTCCCAAGTGATCACCCAGATTTTGTCTTCCCCTCACTCAGAAGCCATAAATGTCTCACTTTAAAAATAATGGTATCCCAATATTGGTGAAGCATACATCCTTACATTACTACTTACAGAAGAGCCACCTGACCTTTATAAATTCCTGTGTTGGAGAAACAAACTTGCTGTACTAAGTGACTGTTTGGTATAGCAGCTGCCAGTAATTAGCCTGATTAATTTACTCACCAAATATAATTCTAAAATGTATAAAGCAAAAGTTCTAGTGTAAAAATGTCTATACACTAAATGCTACTAAACAGCAGCCTTCCCTAAAAGAATAGTTTGATTTTACATACAAATATTATAAAATTAATACTGATGCATGGATTCATACCATATAAATCTACGGCACATACATTTACTATAAAATAACAACATCCTTAAGGATAATCTATAGAGTGCCATCCGTAACAAATATCCTCATGTCATAATTAGAACATTGTTGAATCATAAACTTGGGAAGACATGGGAGCCAAAATTTCCCTTGCAATATCACTACTTCCAAAATATATCTACTAACAACATATAATCCATAACCCCCTTTTGAAATGCTGGCAACTTTAAGAGTTAGGGACCTGTTTGTTGTTTAGCAAGATAAGCTAAGCAATAAATTGATCATGCTTTAAACTAGGAGGCAGCTTGCTTTAACCAGACATTCTGAAAAAACTTGCAAGAAAAGTATTTTAGGAAGAAAATGAGCACTCTCCATTTTGTTGGTTTATATTTTTTATCTTCCACATATTCTGGAAATAATCTTCAAACATTTCAGAAAAAATTTTTTTTTCTCTTTCCACAACATTGATAGCAGGAAAACTATACAAAATTATTAATTCTGAGTTTTATGACTACCATATCAATTGGGGTGGTCCTTTTTATCTAGAGGGAATAAGATCAACACTATTGACTGTTTTAAGTGCTCAACTAATCTTCAGATCATCTGAGGCAGAAAGGCAGTGGTGAACATTTTTGTTCACCACAGGATATTCGTTTATAAAGGAATCAAAATCTTGAGTGCACTCTTACCCTCAAATTCCACAGAAACACTTCCCAATGAAAACAAGGTAACAGGAAAGATAAATAAACCTGAAAGCTTTTAGAACAAGTTATGGTTGACTTTTAAAGTTGGCCCTGAATTACAAAATGACAAAAGAAAGCACAAAAATGGCAGCCAAATACAGACCCTTCCCCCCAAACCAATAAAGAGTAAGTACTTTCCCAACTAAGCCTCATTCTGTCCTATAATGGTAAGTCTAAGAGACTGAAATGAATGCTACGGACTCCGTCATAGCTTCTCAATGCTGACTGCACATTAGATTCATTCATGGAGCTTTAAAAATACCCACAATAGGTTTTCACCCAGAACAATTAAATCACAATCCCCAGGGTATAATTTAAGAGCTCCCTAGATAGTTCTAATCTGTGGCTTGGCTAAGTTCATCCTTTTGGTGTTTAGTAGAACTACCTCAGGATAAAGTTTGTGTGCCTGTACAGGACAGTGCTGAGAAGGGGGAAGAAATTTACCTCTGGGTCGGGCATTATACTAGGCTATTGACACCAATCATCTTAAATATTCCTTAGAATAAAACGTCAGGATAAATATTTGTATTCCTATTTTTAAATGTCTGAGAATTAAGTTGAACATATGGGAAATAGATCCTGGTTTTTTTTTTTTTTTTTTTTTTTTTGACAGAGAGAGAGACAGTGAGAGAGGGAACACAAGCAGATGGAGTGGAAGAGGGAGAAGCAGGCTTCCCTGCTTTATAGAGATGAACTACTCTTTATTGAACAAGGACATCTCCAGTAATATCGTGCTTCCTGAAACCAGCAAATACTCAAAGACTGAATGCTACACATAAATAAAAGAATTGAAATAGATCAGCAAACTACGTCCATGGGCCAATTTCAGCCACTGCCTATTTATCAATAAGGTTTTGGAAATCAGTCACACTCAATTCATTTTTTTTTTTCTATAACTACACTCATACTACAATGGCAGTGTTGAGTATTTGTGACAGAGACTGTATGGCCAGGTAAAGCCAAAAATATTTACTATCTAGACTCTTACAGAAAAGTTTGCTGACCCATCAACCAGATGATCTGTAGTATGCTTTTAGCCCTGAAATTTATGAAACTAAAAAAACTGTTAAATTACAAATCACTTCATGGTTTTTTCAAAAGTGAAATACCATCTAAGTTCTCTCAATCTGATGTCAGAAATGTCCCAAGTTTAAAACAGAAATGCTTGGGAAGTGCATGTGCTACCTACGTTTTCTTTCCTAACCTCAAAGGGGAATGTTCATTAAAAAGCATTAATGGAAAATGCCAGAATGGCAGCAAGATCAACATTGGAAAGTGGTATGGCACACATTTCTTGGGGCTTGGTAATACAGAAATAATTCCAGATTGTTGGAAAAGAGGGTTGGGTTTTATTTGAACAAGACCATATTGTTAGGTTTTCTGCCTTGTTATATAATGAGGCAATGCCTAATCTACCATAGCTAATCTAAGTTAATGATTTGCACACAGAGCACATCTCTTCAGTGAGGAGACAAGAGAGAAGGAAACAAACCTACCATCTGTCATTCCTTCCCTTCGATGAGGCAATGCTGGTTGTTGGTCCATTCGCCCTCCCTTGTGTTTTTTAGTGGGCCGAGGCCTCTGACTTTGACTCAGGGCTGCACTGGTATTACTGTCAGTAGAAAATGGGCTGGTTGGCCGAGGTCTTTGAGAGGAGGTAAAAGCTTTGCCTAAAAAGAAAACAAAGGGAATGGGGTATAGAGAATGTCATAAGGCAGTGATTCTGCCTGTTTTGTATTTCTGCTCTTACTTAGCCTAACCTGTAAACTTGCCTAGAGATGCCATTTGAAGATATCAAATACTGGTGCATCTCCATAAAAAAATATGCCTTGTTGCATATATTTTACCCAATTTTTAGTAACCAGCACACTGCCCACTGAAAAAATTCAAGCCAATGGGTATAAAACAAATCCACCAACCCAAAACTTGGTATCACTTGGTTATATTTTTATTTTACCTTGACGATCTTAGTGATATTTTCATGGATATATGCAAATTCATGCTGCTTTTACTTCTTAAAATTAAAGAAGTTACTTCTGAACTGAATTATGTACTTGTCTTACTTGCTTAACCAAATTTTATCCATGGAATCTTACAAACTCACTTTGAGCACAGAAAAAGGTCCTGAAGTAATTGCATTTGACAAATCTACATGAAAGATCTGCTCAGAGACATATATTAAACTGACCTCACCAACCCATACAAATGCATGATGAATTTTACCGCTTTTACAGAAACTCAATAACAGCGTATAGTATAGGATAGGTAGCAGGTTAAATTCACCTTGCATATCCAAAGTGCAGCAGGTATTTTCTGATGACTATTGTTGTACCTGAGCAGACTCCAAATTCTCATTGAAAAATGAAATTGTGTTATGTCCTTTTCTTGAGCTTTAGTACATACGCAGGGAAATTTATTTTGTGAAAAGGGTAGCTAATAAATGTTCAACATGTTGTGATTTTAATAGAATGTTTATTATGGTAGGTGAGGGTTGTTTTATGTGCATGTATTTATTCTCTTGCGCATGCTCTCATTTCACATAAAATTATTGTATGTAGTTACATTTTCTTAAGTCAATGTGACACGCTATTGCTTAATGCTTTATTAGCTATTAGCATACATGTAAGAAATACGCCTTCTAATTTATTAGTTTCCTTGCACTTTCTCACTGCTGTGCTCATAGCTATGCCACACAGAGCACTCAGGCAATAGAAAGTTTCTGACTTACGCCTTATAAAGCAAGACAATTCAAATAACCGTTATATTACAACATATTTTAGTTCGGATGCTATATGAAAAATAAACCTCTGCAATGCTTGGAAAATTTTTTTTTATACGCTTGAAGATTCCTAATGCGTACTCAAAAGAAATACTGATAGGATAATTCAAAGAAAATTTCCAAGACTCCTTTTCATCACCCGAGAGTTTAGTGAAGGGTCAAAATCATTTTTCTTCAGTTTACTAGTTCAATACGATTAAGATTTCAAAAATGCGTTAAAGGCTTCATTAGTTTGTTTTGTAAGGTAGCTCCATTTAGTTCATATATTAGAACCCTCTCATAAGTGCATTTAAGAAGTACAGTCATGTAATAGCATGGATCATGCCAAAGTTATTTTGTTTCAGTCAAACAACAAACACAAATTACTCATCTATTATTAGAATGAATCTCACATTTCTTTTGGGGAAAAGAATCAGATACATGAAAAATTATATAATTGGTACTCAATTGTTCTCAGAAACCCAAATTAGATTATGGCAAGAGCAATCACATGTAGTCATCATTTTATTCAAGTTGCAAATGCAGTAGGTGTATCTTTAATTAGCATCCTTTAAAACAGATAATAAATTATTGAGTTAAGATTTTAACAGCCAAACAATTAATAAGACCATCAGCCATTTGAACTGTTAGACTGACAGCCTTAGACCCATTCACCCCATGCTGAGAAAGCCTTCCCAGAAAATGCATTTGCAGAAAGAAATGGGGCAAAGGAAAGTAATGATGATAAAAGCTGAATAAGTTTAATCACTGGGCACATGATCGATTGTGTGAGAATTTTGCAACATGTGAGTTATTGAAAATTTAATGACAATCTCAGTTGCAGCTTGGTTGTAATTTAAAAAGGAAGCATTTTCCAATTAATCAGCAGAGCCACGAAGGGAAAGGGAAAGAACAGATAGAAGGTGGTGAGTAGGAGCCTATTCTTGGCTCTGCAAAAAAGTAGCATCAGAAGAAAGTTCTGGTAATTGAGGATCGCAACGGTGGTCATGCATATCACAGAAAGCCCTGCAGTCAGACTCACTGAGGAGAAAGAACAGGAGAAAAATATTTCAGTGTCTAAAGGACAAGATTTTCTCATGCAAAGAGTGTGGACTCAGGGTCTACCAACCTGTTCTTGTAAGGCTGGTTCCATGCAGCCTAAAACCAGCTTTATCTGCCGCTTCCACCAGTGCGTGTGCAAAGCTGCCACTGGCCAAAATGGAGCCATCGGAGGAGCTACCTACGCTAGATCTATGACTAGAAAAGTTACGATCCTCATCAGATGCAGAGCCCCATCCATTTACCATTGAACCTAAAAACAAATGTAGTTGTCTAGTGAGTGGTATATATTGGACAGCCCATCTCCTTGCACACACTCTACTAAGGAACAAGTAGGCTGCCTCAACTCCTCACTCCTCCTTGAGGCAAATCTGGTTTCATCCTGACTTCTGCAGCCACATGCAAGCCTCCTCCATGGTTGAAACATTCCTAGTGCAGAAGAATGAATCTCCTTTAAAACCTGTACCTGTTTGCAACACATAAACAAAACATGTTTCGTATGGTTCCAGTCTGACATTGTTTAAATTATCACGTAATCACTTTCTGAAAGAGAATTGCTACGTATATTTTAAGCCCTACAATTCAGAGAAGAACACTTCTATTGAAATAAATCGTAGTGTATTTAAAGTAGACTTATCAAGGACTCTGATGAAGGAAGAGGGTGAACATATATTTTGAATTAAATGCAGACTCAAACGATGATTTCCATTCGACATACACTGGTATACTGTGGAAGTGCTAGAATCATTTCAAGATTTTAAAATACATATTGAAATAATCAGGACATATAACAACAAACACCAAAAACAAAAAAAGTATAAATAGTAGCAGAGCATATAGACTTAGAACAAAAGAAAAAGTGTATCTTTAAAAATTTCCATTAATTTCAAAGCTCAGGATGCTTTCTTTGCTTTTTAATTGTTTTAAGAACTCCAGGTTTCTCTTTACTATGAGTCTTTGTCTTAGAAAATTAACCATTATGAAGGATATAACTGGCATTAATATGGATTCTTCTGCAAAACGCAATATGGCAATAAAGGAAAAGAACTGCACTTTCATGTGTCAAGAACTGCAAAACATGAAGATGTTGAGAAATACCTTGTCTTCTTAATTTTTCAGCAAGTCATTTACAAGTTTAGATTTTTTTCTTGGACCAAGGCACACGGAAACCTCAATCTATTACTTGATACAATTAATATTACAATATTTATTAAGTTGTGTACCATTAATTTATGGCACAATAAAGTGCCAAGTGTCGCTTAGCCTAACTTTTTAAAAAAGAGAGCCAAAAAAAAAATATTTATAAGAAGCTCATTTATGCTTTCTACATCAACCAATTACACATTCCCAAAAAAGAGATTAAAATCAAGAGCCGTAGATGCTCCCCCCCCATTTTCTCCAGTGTTTAGGAGACAACAGTATAGTTAGGAGTGTTGCTGCGATGCAGTATTTGTATTTTTAGTCCAGGTGCCAGGATACAATCACACGGGTTCATGCACTTTCAAGAGAGAGAAAACAGAAACCAGAGGGGTTAGAAGAACCCGAGAAGTTGAAAGGGTGTTAAGTGTAGCAGAGAAAGAGAGTTTTGATTCTATTTGCCAAAAGAACAAAGATACACTTTTTACTTTCCAAACAAATTCCCCTGACACAGGCCACTGCAAGGAAGGCCAGATAACAGCAGCAACTGAGCCTCCTCTGATAGAACCATTTCTGAGTTAATAATCACAAGTCAAGCACCAACAGCCCAAAACGAAAGGAGAAATGATGCAATGGGCTTTGCAATATAATGCTACAGCAGATAAGAAAAAAGTCAAAGTGATTCAGTCAGTGATCACCAGAGAATATGAAACCCTAGAACTGAGGAGAGTTTTGAAATTCATGAAAGCCCCGTCCTGGTCCCTTCTACGCACCGTTTTCTGTATTTCTAAAAGTCTGAAATTCAACAAACATCAAGCATCTGCAACTAAATCTGTGTCAGCTCTCTGAAAGTCCCTCTCCAAACAAGCATCTCCTTTTTCTCCGTCTCCAATTTCATTCTTAGGCACCTCTTGATTTCCTTCTGGTCCCTTCTTATCTTCCTCATTGTCATCTGAATTATTTTTCTCATTTATCACGTAATTTTGTTCCTCCATTCAAAACCTTACCCGGGTTGCTGAGGCCACGTCCGGATCCCAAGTTGAGACTTTGAGATCCTTCAGGATCTGGCCCCGCCCACCCTTCCAGCCCTCTACCCTCTTATAGCCTGTGTAGTCCCATTGCCTGACCTACAGACACAGCATTACCTCTGGTTCCTTCAACACACCTCTGGATTATCGCTAACTCTACTGACCACCGCCAACCTTGAAAGTCCCAAGCAACAGCCTTTTTATCACCTTGATTCCACTTCACCTTTAACCCTGTCTTAGGAGGAATCAATTTCTCTCCTTGTGTTTTTCAAATAGTACGCATATGGTAGCGTATCTGGTCTCTACAAACTACAGTTCCTTGCATATAAATGGCTTTTCTTCTAGACAGTGGAACTCTGGAAGTGGGGGACTCTTACTCATTTTCATATTTCTTCTATGGGGGCTTTGCCCAGGAGAAATTCAACAAACATCAAGCATATTGAATTAAATGGCTTCAATGTTCTCATTATTTGCCATAAATCCTATATGTGATTCTATCCCATGTGCCATTTCCCAGCAATGAACTTATTTTATTTACAGAAAAAAATATGCTCATAAGAACTTGTAGAAAATGTATTTAAGTAAGGAATATAATGTCAGTCTTGTTGATAACTTGGACAATAGGAAAAGAAATGAGTTATTACCCGAAAGGGAAAACTAAAAAAATTAATTAATTAATATACATATC